TAACTGAATATCCGGTTGGTAAGGTTAGTTTTTATTGTTTAAGTATAACACACATTTTTCTTGCCCCCCCCCCTAAAAATGTTTAGGGGGGGGGCCAAAAAAATTTTCGCGCTTCGCGCCAAATATTTTCCCCTAGCCCCCCTCTAACCAAATGTCTAGTTGCGCGCCTGAATACACGTATAATCTTCATTTACTCCCGCCGCGTAGAACCATAGTAAGAACATCTAGTTATATTTTTCACCGCCAGGGGTCTCGAGTTGTCGAATTCATTCAAACAATATTTACAAATGATACAATATTTAGTACAATATGCAACTTTTTGTCTATTCTTTTTCAACAATTTAGCTTGTTATTTTAATAAAAAAAAAATTTGAGGAGGAATAAAAATAAAAGTCTTTTTAAAACGTCAAACTGTCATTTAAATTACTTTGTCGAACCTCAGTTTCTGGAAATTCAATTCTCACTACCGTACTACCTGTTTGTGCAGAATAAGTTAATCAACTTATCCATTTACCAAGTGCACATATTAATTCAAGAATAAACATAAAACAACGGATGTTTTAATTTCATATTTACGTTCCTTTACCCAATAAACATATAATTTGATATGCATGATGATTTTTAATGTTGTTCTGAGAAACGCGCGCGTGCTAAATGCATACACATTTCTATAATTTGAGATAGGATTTGAAATCCTTGCCCCATAAAACCCAAAATTACAAGTGGAACTTGCATATGAAAGATGTGTAAATAGTTTTGCTTGTTTTTCTCATGTTCTGTACCACTGTGCCATGGGTACCCTTGGAAACAATTTTGATTTTTTTTTTCAATTGTTACTTAAATTCCACGACAACGCCGGGCACTTCAGCTAGTAATAATGAAAAATAATATTAAAATTATCAAATCACAATTTAAATTGCTACTGAAATATTTTATTTTGACATAGAAAGGGTGTCCCAAGAAACATGGCAGTTCAGAGACTACTTGAATATTATCTTTGACCATTGTACTAATTAGTGACTTTTATTTGTCAAACTTGAATTACCAAAAGTAGTTGCAATCAAAATGACTGAAAAGCAAAATTCTAGAATTGATAAAACCTGGTATTTCTAAGATGTGGGCTGTCTTTCATGTGCTTTCAAAATCATCCGAGATAAAACGAATTTCGTTCAGAATTCAATAATTTTTATTTCATTTAATAAAATTAAATCTGAACAAAATATTTCGCTTAATATTGACAGCACAAAAAAAGCAGACCACATTTTGGAAATGCCAGGACTAGGAATTGTTATAAATGTTTCAAAAATCTTGCACGGAAAAGTAGGTTGACAAATGAATGCTGCATATTATTTCTATTATCAAAGACAATAAACTCAAGCTCTTTATCTTCACTGTCATGTTTCGTAGGACACCCTGTACTTTAGCCAATATAGTAATCTTAGATTTTATTGGTTGATATATCATAATGATAGTAATAATGATAATGATGATAGTAAATTAATGATAAGATTTTTATTCCTTATAATATTAATAACTCTAGGAAGCTGTATATCCACAATATCGCACAAGTTTGACGGGAAAGGGACTGAGATGACCTCTGAGCTCAAACTACAGAATCTGACCCATATCAATATTGGTAAATATCCAGTTAGACCCATCAAACAATGGAATGATAAGACAACTTTTAGACTCCCGTTCTAATTTTAAATATAAATAGCCCGTTTCAATAAACAAGTTTTATGTTCACGCTAGTTGTAAAACTTTAAAGAAACATCAAATACGCATAAACTTGCTTAATTGTCGTCTTCTTCCGTAGTTTTATGGTTTCCCATTGTAGCATTTTATTAAATAAGTAAAATGGAACCTTTAAAGGCTGTTCACTCTGAAGACAACATTTAAAGGGGCTGTAAGCGTAAGCCTCCATGCAAAATGGACAATGCCCGATTTACAACGGTTTTTGGATGGTAATAAAATATTAAACAGGATTGTAAGCCTTTTCTCAACTTTCATGGTATGGGGACACTCTGTTGATTGATTTATTGTGTAGGTGAGTATCAGTGTATAGTAGAGAACCGGTTTGGTGCAACCTACTCTACCAAGGCGGATATCACGGTCTACGTTTTCCCGCGTTTCCTTACTACACCTTCAGATATTACCGTCAGGGGGGGAGATAAGGCAGTTCTTAGATGCTCCGCTACAGGTAAGTTCATTCATTTATTTATTCAGTAAATTATTCATTTAGCCTCTTATTCCTCATCAAGTTCCAAAACTATCAGCCCCCAGCAACTGCTAGGATGACCCCAAAAAAAATCTTTTCTGTTTCAAAATTATCCGAACATAATGGAAGACGCACGAACAAGAAGAAAATGGCGAACAAGAAATATTAAAATGTCAAAATATTTGCATCTAATTATTAAAGAATATTCTAAAATTAAAGTTCAAAATCAAAATATTTATAAACTTCATTCACTCATTCATATATTCTATACATAATTTATAAATTGTCCAGGAGTTCCGTCTCCCTCTATATCCTGGCAGAAAGACAATGGAGGAGAATTCCCAGCAGCCAAGGAGAGAAGGATTAGAGTTGATACGGATACTAATACATATATCATAAACAATATACAGGTAAACCTACGGTAGAGTTAATACGTATACTAATACATATATCATTAACAATATACAGGTAAACTTACGATAGGTATCAAAATAAAATAATCTATAAAGAAAAATTGTATGAACTGAACTCTTACCTAAAACTCTATTTTTTCGAATTCCTCCATCAATTCAATAGGTGTAAATCTTTAATTTTCAAACTTTTCATATTTAATTTAGTAGAATTCATTTTTTTAAATATCAAAGGTTTACATCAGGTTGCGAAAGTAAAAGGAACAAAAATTAGAGTTTTGAGTCAAGTGTTCATCTCCAGTATGGAATTCCTTTTTTATAATGCTAACATAAGCCAGTTTATATTTTTAATACCAGCTTTTTTTCGGTATTAAATTCAAAAATGACATTTTCGTAGATATATCTGTTTGTTGCAAAAATAGCTATTAACTATCTATCTATCTAGCCTGCTGATATGGGACTGTACACTTGTACTGCTAACTATCTATCTATCTAGCCTGCTGATATGGGACTGTACACGTGTACTACTAACTATCTATCTATCTAGCCTGCTGATATGGGACTGTACACTTGTACTGCTAACTATCTATCTATCTAGCCTGCTGATATGGGACTGTACACGTGTAATACTAACTATCTATCTATCTAGCCTGCTGATATGGGACTCTACACATGTACTGCTAACTATCTATCTAGCCTGCTGATATGGGACTGTACACTTGTACTGCTAACTATCTATCTATTTAGCCTGCTGATATGGGACTGTACACTTGTACTGCTAACTATCTATCTATCGTGCCTGCTGATATGGGACTGTACACGTGTACTACTAACTATCTATCTATCTAGCCTGCTGATTTGGGACTGTACACATGTACTACTAACTATCTATCTATCTAGCCTGCTGATATGGGACTCTACACATGTACTGCTAACTATCTATCTAGCCTGCTGTAATGGGACTGTACACGTGTACTACTAACTATCTATCTATCTAGCCTGCTGATATGGGACTGTACACATGTACTACTAACAATCTATCTATCTAGCCTGCTGATATGGGACTGTACACATGTACTACTAACTATCTATCTATCTAGCCTGCTGATATGGGACTCTACACATGTACTGCTAACTATCTATCTAGCCTGCTGTAATGGGACTGTACACGTGTACTACTAACTATCTATCTATCTAGCCTGCTGATATGGGACTGTACACATGTACTTCTAACTATCTATCTATCTAGCCTGCTGATATGGGACTGTACACATGTACTGCAACGAACCTGGCCGGAGCTATCACCACGAATATAACTCTGAGTGTTCTTGATAAACCCAAGTTTGTCAAACCAATGATAGACAAGAAGGTAGGGTGCATAATTTTCATTCATTCATTCAATCTTTTTTTGTTTGTTTTTTATTCTTGTCGTGTTCATTCATTCTTTCATTCATTCTTTCATTCATTCTTTCATTCATCCTTTCATATATTCATTCATTCATTTATTTATACATTCATTTATATATGTATTCATTTATTAATCTATTCATTGATTCAATTATTTTTTCTTCATTCATTCTTTATACATTCATTTATTCAATCGTCAAATCAATCATTCATTCTGTTATTCATCCTCACTTCATTTCTTTTTTGTCGTTGGTGGAGATTGTTTTTGTTCTTTCTTGCATTCATGTAATATGATAAATAGTATCTTTAATTAAATAAATCATTTGTCCCTTTATTAGTGTTGATTATTATTTTAAGTTCTTTAACGGTCACTGTTAATATTTATCAATCCTTTTATTCCTGTCTGTCTGTCTGCATATATTTACCTGTTTGTCTGTTTATATTTTTATCTAACTATTTTAACACATGTCTATCTTCTGTCTTTCTATCTCCATCAGTTTATCTTACTATGTATTTATCTATCTATCTATCTCTCTATTTATCAAGAAGGGAATACAGCTGTCCTAGAATGTATAACTATATCTATATATCTATATATCTATATATCTATATATCTAGGTTGGGATAGGGGATACCTCTGTCCTAGAATGTATAACTATATCTATCTATCTATATATCTAGGTTGGTATAGGGGATACCGCTGTCCTAGAATGTATAACTATATCTATCTATCTATATATCTAGGTTGGTATAGGGGATACCGCTGTCCTAGAATGTATAACTATATCTATCTATCTATATATCTAGGTTGGTATAGGGGATACCGCTGTCCTAGAATGTATATCTAGTGGAAGTCCTAAACCAACCCTTAGTTGGAAGAAGAGTACCCAGCGTATCCTGGTTTTCAAGTACCCCAGCGGGGATAGGGTTAAACAAAAAGTCACAAGAGTTTTTAGCGTGCATTGTGCGTTGAATTAAAGATTTTGTTTATTCCTCTTTAAAACTATGGTTTTTTGAAATTCTCTAAAACCTAAAATAATTTTTAAGAGAATAAGGAATATAGACGTAATCTCAAGTTGCCCGCCAATTGTTGAGTGTCATGTCCGATTCACGTTGGTGCCCTTTAAATCATTTTCATAAAGCTTGCTGTATTGTGGCTACCTCTTTCATTGTCTTAGCTAAAATCAATAACAATTCCAGTGAAACCGTAATTGAAACTTTTCAAATTCAGATAAAAAATTAAGAATATCTCTTTCATTCTTGATCAAACTAAGGTGTAAAGCAGACTTGTCACATAAAAATGAAGGTTTTCTTGAAATTACTTCTAAGGAAGCTTGAATGTATTTTATTTTTTTTCCTAACATCTTAAAAGTAAAGATTTTATTATTTGTTTTAGGACCACTGTATCCTACAGAGAGACACTTTTTAGAGTAAAGATTTTATTATTTGTTTTAGGACCACTGTATCCTACAGAGGGACACTTTTTAGAGTAAAGATTTTATGATTTGTTTTAGGACCACTGTATCCTACAGAGAGACACTTTTTCACGGCAGACAACCAACTTTTAATCATTGTCAAGGTAAAAAAAAAAACTTGTTTATTTTTTTTGTTCATCAGAAAAAATTATGAATTTGTGTAAATTTTCACTTTTTGGGGCTTTTATTCTGACTGCCTTTTTTAACCGTTGGTTCATTAGTTAATTGTTGCACTGTATCCATTAATTCATGATTGATTGATTGATTGATTGATTGATTGACTGACTGACTGACTGACTGACTGACTGACTGACTGACTGACTGACTGACTGACTGACTGACTGACTGACTGATTGATTGATTGATTGATTGGTCTCTAGGTTGAGCTAGAAGATGCTGGAGTATATGAATGTGAGATGAGAAATCAGCTTGGTTCAGTTAAACAGTCCAGCTTCCTTACAGTTGACGGAGGTGAGAGATTGTTACAATCCAGTTTCTTAGTTTTTAGCTTTGTAAATTATTGCGGCATTCTTCATTGTTTAGCTGTTTTTATTTCTGAACCACTTTAAATACAATTTTATGATATTCCTTGTGGTATTTGGTGAATCTATAACTGTCCGATTTACAACACTGCCCTTGTCTGATCGTCGACATAGAAAATAAGAATATCTTCGACATCCTCGTATAGAAAAGGCTAAAAAGATACCGAACCATGGATTAAACCCACTTCCTAAGGACTTTCGGCGATACTTTTTCCCATTGACGGTGATCTTGGTATCCCAGTTTGGGATTTTGAAAGAATCCATCATTTATTTTAATTTTTCTATATTATTAGGTGAAGTGGTGGGCGCTGGGGATCCAACAACAGGAATCATTGTTGTTGCAGTTGTCTGCTGTGTTCTAGGGACTAGTCTTGTCTGGGTCATCATCATTTACCATACCAGGAGGAGGTCAAATACACAGGTAGGAGGAGGTCAAATACATGGGTAGGAGGAGGTCAAATACACAGGTAGGAGAAGGTCAAATACACAGGTAGGACGAGGTCAAATACACAGGTAGGAGGTCAAATACACGGGTAGGAAGAGGTCAAATACACGGGTAGGAGGAGGTCAAATACACAGATAGGAGGAGGTCAATGAAATACACAGGTAGGAGGAGGTCAAATACACAGATAGGAGGTCAAATACACAGATAGGAGGAGGTCAAATACACAGGTAAGTGGAGGTAAAATACACTGGTAGGAGGAGATCAAATACACGGGTAGGAGGAGGTTAAATACACAGGTAGGAGGAGGTCAAATACACATGTAGGAGGAGGTCAAATACACAGGTAGGAGGAGTTCAAATACACAAGTAGGAGGTGTTCAAATACACAGGTAGGAGGTCAAATACACAGGTAGGAGGAGGTCAAATACACAGGTAATAGGAGGAGGTCAAATACACAGGTAGGAGGAGGTAAAATAAACAGGTAGGAGGAGGTCAAATACACAGGTAGGAGGAGGTCTATTACATCAGAGAATGTCAAATATGTGCACAATAACAAAAAGGTCAAAGTAACATATAACATGAGGTCAAATACAATTTAATTTTATTGAAAGTGAAAGGATGTTTGTTCCAGGATTGGGAGTTGGATAAACGGAACAATCCATCAATTATCTCGCCTGGCATGACTACCCTAGGAGAGTCAGGTCTACCCTTGCTAGCTGAGGAGATTCCGTCTCGTAAACCATTCCCTATTCCTATAGACGACTCATCCAGTGAACGCGACAGTGGAACCGGCGACAGTAAGCGTAGTTTCGACAACATAGAGAACGTTGTCGATACAGTGCTAAACACTTTCCTGACTGCCCGGGGGGAGAGGGAGGGGGAGGAGTGGGGAGTTTCTCCTCCACCACTCTCCGATGTAGATACTGGTATCTCCTCCAGCAGTGGACGACACCGGGACGGATGCCCTAACGGATCCTACTCCTCCTGTCATCTACCTAAACCTGTGCCTACTCCAGTCCCTCCCTCCTCACACCCATCCCTCACCCGAGATGCACAATTACCCCCTGGGTGCACCCGCCAACCTTCTCGTAGCGTGCACGGTTCAGAATGCTCAGGGCGCTCTACAAGTGTGCGCAGTGATTCCAACGCGCGAAGCAAACGTGCTAAAAAAGATATGCGTGCCCAGCAGCACACACCACCCGTTGAGACGATTAGTCTCGCGGTCGAAAATCCTTTATATGATAGTCTTCCAGTAAACACCTGTGATATTATTAATCGGCAACGGTCTCCGAATCGGCCGCCCTCACCTTCAGCCAGCCTTATATCAGACAGTATAGCCTATTGCGGCCGATTTCCGGCCGCCGATCGACGAATGTGTCCCCAGTGTGGTGAACTCTTAGCTGAATGTCCGCACCGTGATATGATTGATGAAATATCGTCTGTTTCTTCGGCCGGACAGTCGTCAACCGGTCAGTCCTCGGCACCATCGACGACGATGTCAGATCAACCGATATCATTCAACAGCTTTCTTCCTAAACGCGGAACTGGAGAGAGGTACTTTTAATGCTTTTATAATAATTATTTTAAATTAGAACTAAATTATTAAACTCCTTAAAATAGATTCTAACTTTTTAATCTTTCCTTTGATATGTTTAATTTTTTATGTCTTTTTATTTATCTATATATATTCTACAACCGTCCATCTAAATCTATATTTATATCTATCTATCCATCTATTCAATTATCTATCTATCTATTTAACTAATTCTAGGTCTGGATTAACGGATCCCCATGATTTGGCAACTTTATCTAAAGGAAAGAACAGACTCTCCGCCATTGAACTCCCAACAGGTAATTTAGGAACAGACTCTCCGCCATTAACCTCTCAACAGGTAATTTAGGAACAGACTTTTCGCCATTAACCTCCCAACAGGTAATTTAGGAACAGACTCTCCGCCATTAACCTCTCAACAGATAGTTTGGGAACAGACTCTTCGTCATTAACCTCCCAACAGGTAATTTAGGAACAGACTCTTCGCCATTTGAACGGAAGACGTAATTTTAAGTGGCCTTCAATTTTAGAGAACAAACCCAATTCACACTGGTACCCTATACACGTTGCTCAGAGTAACAAAAAGGTCGATGTCGTCGTTTTTCTTATTTGAATTTTTTTCTATTTCCTTCGTTGTCTTTCCTGCATAAACTTGCAATCCGAATGTCATTATAATAAGGATTCGAAGCTTGAAAATAGTCAATTTTTATCAGAAATGAAAGATTTATCATTCATCCTTGATCAGTTAAAGATTTCAAGGGCACCGTTGTTCTTATAACATTTTACACCATTCTGCAATGTACATCAAAATATCATTGTAATTTGTAAATAGAGTTTTTTTCAGGAGAAACTTATATTCCGATAGATCTGGGGGTTCGGTCCCCAGACAAAGAGACTGGAATAGATGCTCGAGAATATAGAGGAGGAGGGACTCTTCCTAGACATGGACTGCAGCAGGTATATAGGGTAGATGGGGGAATATTTTGTGGAATATTACTGTTAACAACATCGTTATTATCGTTACCATCATTATCATCATTATCATCATTATCATCGTAATCATCATTATCATCATTATCATCGTTATCATCGTTATCATCATTATCATCATCATCTTTATTTTAATCATTATTATATTAGGAATGGTTGGAGGCCTCATTAAACTGTTCTGAGTCTGGGTTAAGAGCAGACTCCAGATCTACCCTCACCAGGAACAAGGTTTGTGTTTACAAATTGTTTCTCATCTGAAACATTTTTGGCTCCCTGGACCCAAATCAATGGATCTCTGAATTCAATTGACAAAATATATTCATACATATCCCCATCATTTTTTGCTCCATGGATCCTTAATCCTTATCCTTAACTTCTAAATATAAACCAACATTTAGCTAACTTCTTTTTTCTTGCAAAACAGATGTTGTAATATAGGAGTTTGGTGAAACTTTAATCATTCTCATATTGGTAAATTTTTAAACAGATGTTGTAATATAGGAGTTTGGTGAAACCCCACCCATATGCAAAACTATTGATAACTTAAAGTAAAAACCGAATAGAACATTTAGTATTTTCTAGTACTACGTCGTTAATTCTTTAAATCTATTCTTTAAGCATATATTTCTAGAAAGGTGCCGTGGCATCTTTTTATTTCGACCTGACCTAGCCTAGAAGGAGGTTCAAATGAATTTCGAACTGACCAGGCGCGCAACTAGATATTTTGTTAGGGGGGAAGTGTAGTACTTGTTGAAAAAAATTTGAAAATTTCCCCACCCCCTAAACATTTTCAGGGGGCGGGGCAAGAAAAATGTGTATTATACACAAACAATAAAAAAAAACCGTCAACACATCTGATATCAAATAAAAAAAGAAATCTGTTCTTGTTAAAAAATCATGATTTTAAATGAAAAATATTTTTTTTTTCATATGACGCATCACACAATGTTTGCGGTGAACATGTAGGATTAATTGAATAGTTGTACTACAGTATTAAAGCAATATCATCATAAGTTTCAGAACTTTTAGTTAAAATATCTAAAAATACTGAATAAACCCCCTTTCCCTTTCCAAGGAATTTATAAATCGCTAAATTGCAAAACAGGGTGGACATCTTGCCCCCCCCCCAAGCCTTCTTGAGGGAGGGGCATGCCCTCCCCTTAATCAGACTAGGGGGGCCTTGCCCCCTTGCCTCCTTCCCCTAGTTGCGCGCCTGGAACGGACCATTAGTATATATCTCTATTTAACCCTTTTTTTAAAATTGGGAAACTCCCTTTTTATAAACATAAAGGTAACTATTTCCTAGAATATTATATTGAGCAATCCAAGAATATTGGTTGGTTTAAAGGGACTGTAAACATAATTTCAAGGTACCCTCCATTGTGGCATGTCTGAACCCAAACGATACCCTCAAAATGGAGTAAAACGACGTTATTTCAAACATTATTGATTAAGTTAAGGTTACAAGGACACTGTTATTAGTAATGGGGCATGATTCTATTGAAATTGAGGGCTACTGTAAATTACGCTATCAGTTCTTTTAACTGTTAATATTATTAAATAATGTACCTGATTTATATATATATATTTCAATAAATTCATCAATTATCATATATTCCTCCTCTTCTCTGTTAAAGTATTCTACTTTATATTTTGTTTATTATTTTATGAAAATATGTATTTCCAGAGAAAATGTCAGATCGTCTAACACAACTACAGGATGCAGTTAATCAGCAGCCCAAAGCTAGGTGGTGGGGGAGGGGAGAATAAAAATGGATTTTTTTTAATTTTCTTCCCGAATTTTGTGTTTTTTTTGTCTGCGATAAAACCATACCACATGTTTTTACCATAATATATATATATTTCAGTTTTTAACTTCACATTTTTTATTGAAAAAGAATTATACTAAACATAATGTTTCACGCCTATCATGACGATCCTCAGTAGTTAAAATTCTTTAAATATATGTATATACATATACATATATATATATATATATATCTATATAGTGTACTGTTTCTACTTTTTATACTGCTTTTGTTTATTTGCGTGACATATTTTGCAACAACCAATAAAAATGCTTGGAATAGATAATTTTATGCCCGCTGCTAAAATGCTAATATAACCGTCACAATTTTGCTGTTATTGTTACTGCTGATGTTACTGTTACTGCTAATGTTATTGATACCACTATTGATATTATTGTTCCTACGAACTTATTGTTACTTTATTGTTATTGTTACTTCTAATGTTATTGTTACTGCTAATGAAAACGTTAGAGTTACGTTTATTTTTATTTTTACTACTAATGTTATTATTACCTATAATTTTACTGTTACTGCTAATGCTAATGCTAATGTTATTGTTACGTATATTGTTATTGTTACTGCTAATATTATTGTTACCTACATTGTTAGTGTTACTGCTAATGTTAATGTTATTGTTACTATTAATGTTATTGTTACTGCTAATGTTATTTTTACTACTAATGTTATTATTACCTATAATTTTATTGTTACTGCTAATGCTGATGTTATTGCTACGTATTTTGTTATTGTTACTACTAGTGCTATTGTTACTATTAATGTTATTGTTACTACTTATGTTATTGTTACTACTTATGTTATTGTTACTACTAATGTTATTGTTACTACTGCATTGTTATTCTACATTGTTATTGTTACTACTAATGCTATTGTTACTACTAATGTTATTGTTACTACTTATGTTATTGTTACTACTATGTTATTGTTACTACTAATATTATTACTCCTTATTAATGTTATTGTTACTACTTATGTTATTGTTACTACTTATGTTATTATTACTACTAATGTTACTGTTGCTACTAGTCGGACAACATGTGAAACAGTAAATTGGTTTTCTACTACAGTGTTACTGTCCATGTTATTGTTACCTATATTGTTTCCTTACTGCTAATGTTATTGTTACCTATATTGTTTCGTTACTGATAATGTGATTGTTACCTATATTGTTTCTTTACTGATAATGTGATTGTTACCTATATTGTTTCGTTACTGCTAATGCTAATGTTATTGTTACCTATATTGTTTCGTTACTGCTACTGCTAATGTTATTGTTACCTATATTGTTTCGTTACTGCTAATNCCTGATCCTGATCCTGATCCTGATCCTGATCCTGATCCTGATCCTGATCCTGATCCTGGTCCTTATCCTGATTCTGATCCTGATCCTGATCTTAACATTAACTTTAACTTACTTTTCCTTATTCTGAATTAGTATTTTTATCTGCTTCCTAATTTTCTTAAACGTTAACTGAAATAATTTTTATTTGTTGATCCATGTAAAATTTTCTGAAGTTCATAGAATTTTTATTAGAGCCTTTCCCATTTATCTTGATTCCACCATCATGTCAGTTCATTGATCCTAATTTGATCTCCGTATCTAAATCCCAACTTAATCCCTGTATCTGAATCCCATTTTAATTCCTGTATCCTGATGCATATTTAATTCCTATATCCTGATCTCAGTTTAATTCCTATATCTTGATCCCAATTTAATTCCTGTATCCTGATCCTAATTTAATCCCTGTATCCTGATCTCAATTTAATTCCTATATCTTGATCCCAATTTAAATCCTACATTTTGATCCAAATTTAATTCCTGTATCCTGATCCAAATTTAATTCCTGTATCCTATATCCTGATCACAATTTAATTCTTATTTCTTGATCCCAATTTAAATCCTACATCCTGATCCAAATTTAATTCCTGTATCCTGATTCCAATTTAATTCCTGTATCCTGATGCATATTTAATTCCTATATCCTGATCTCAGTTTAATTCCTATATCCTGATCACAATTTAATTCTTATTTCTTGATCCCAATTGAATACCTGTATCCTGATCCAAATTTAATCCCTATATCTTGATCCCAATTTAATCCCTGTATCTTGATCCCAATTTAATCCCTGTATCCTGATCTCAATTTAATTCCTATATCTTGATCCCAATTTAAAACCTACATCCTGATCCAAATTTAATTCCTGTATCCTGATCCCAACTTAATCCCTGCATCCTGATCTCAATTTAATCCCTATATCTTGATCCCAATTTAATCCCTGTATCTTGATCCCAATTTAATCCCTGTATCCTGATATCAATTTAATCCCTGTATCTTGTTCCCAATTTAATTCCTACATTTTGATCACGACTTAATCCTAGTTTCAATTTAATATTTGATATCTTGTTTTTAACTTATACTTGCACCTTAAGGCTAACTTAATTCCTATACCTTGATTCCAACTTATCCTTGTATCTTGAACCCTACTTAATCTTTAATTCTTGATTCCAACTTAATCCTATTATTTTGATTTAATCTTAATCTTAGTTTCTTAATCCCAACTTAAATAGGAGAAGAAGAATAAGCAGGAAGAGTTGACCCAACTGTTCGCTTCATTAATTGCCAGGTAGCACCAATCATTAAGAGTTATAGTGTGGTGTGTCTGATACACAGTGGTATCATTTAAAGTTATAGTGTGGTGTGTCAAATACACAGCGGTACCATTTAGAGTTATAGTGTGGTGTGTCAATTACACAGCGGTACCATTTAGAGTTATAGTGTGGTGTGTCAAATACACAGCGGTACCATTTAGAGTTATAGTGTGGTGTGTCAAATACACAGCGGTATCATTTAGAGTTATAGTGTGGTGTGTCAATTACACAGCGGTACCATTTAGAGTTATAGTGTGGTGTGTCAAATACACAGCGGTACCATTTAGAGTTATAGTGTGGTGTGTCAAATACACAGCGGTATCATTTAGAGTTATAGTGTGGTGTGTCCAATACACAGCGGTACCATTTAGAGTTATAGTGTGGTGTGTCAAATACACAGCTGTATCATTTAGAGTTATAGTGTGATGTGTCCGATACACAGCGGTATCATTTAGAGTTATAGAGTGGTGTGTCTGATTCACAGCGGTACCATTTAGAGTTATAGAGTGGTGTGTCTGATTCACAGCGGTACCATTTAGAGTTATAGAGTGGTGTGTCTGATTCACAGCGGTACCATTTAGAGTTATAGAGTGGTGTGTCTGATTCACAGCGGTACCATTTAGAGTTATAGTGTGGTGTGTCTGATACACAGCGGTATCATTTAGAGTTATAGAGTGGTGTGTCCGATACACAGTGGTATCATTTAGAGTTAAAGTGTGGTGTGTCTGGTACCATTTAGACCAATTAAACCTTTCCCTGGACCACAGTAAAGAACATATTGTTAAAGGGAAAATCTGA